CACGGGCCGAAATCGAAGAGCAACGCCTGGATTGCTACATTGAGAGTCAGCGTGGACCCCAAATAGTAGATTCTTGCAGTGTGGATGTGAAAGCTTTGTGGTGTAAGTTACGTGGTGCAAGCTGCGTGGCGGATTTCGGAAACCCTGAACCCAAAAACGTTTTCATCTCCTTGGGAGGCGTCTCTTTACTTCCACCACCTTCCGCCGCCCTTCCGCCCGCTTCCGCCCGCGAAGGCGGCCTCTTTTTACTTCCGCCGACCTTCCACCGCCCTTCCACCAGCTTCCGCGGCGGAAGAGATGACAACTCCTGCGATCCTCGAAGGCGAGGCCAATTTTGGAACGCCTCATGTGGCGCAAGCTATGTGGTGCAAATTATGCGGTGTAAGCTCTGTGGTGCTGTCTACGTGGTGCAAGCTATGTGGTGACGCGGCCGCGAGGCGGCCACAGGCGGCAACGTGGCGAAACCTTGCCTGACCCACCCAGCACATGAGGCGGTCACGAGGCTGCCGCGGGCGGCAGCGTGGCGAAACCTCGCCAGACCTAACCCCTTCCTTAGTAAGATAAGTAAGATAATCTTAACCATAATAATAACAATCGTAATTGTACTCATAATCATAATTACCCCAGTGCGACCCTACCTAGAAGTTGGAGCCCCCAGGAAAGCAGCATTAGTTGTTATGCTATGCTATGCTATGCCATGCTATGCTGCGCTATGCTATGCTATGCTATGCTATGATATGCTATGCTGCGCTATGATATGCTATGATATGCTATACTATGTCATGCTGCGCTGTGCTATGCTAAACTATGCTGCGCTATGCTATGCTATGATATGCTGCGCTATGCTATGCTATGCTATGCTGCGCTATGCTATGCTATGCTTGGCTATGTTATGCTATGCTATGCTATGCTAATGCAGCGCTGCGCTATGCTAAGCTAAGGGTCTCCAGACTTGAGCCGAAATGGTTACGGAAGACACTGCTTGCGGGGGCTCTGGTCCGGCCATCGAGGCTAGCTCGTCATCTGTCGCACATTGCTTTTCCTTTGCCTTTCCTTTGCTTTGCTTTTGCTTTGATTTGCTTTGCGTTGCTTGTGCCTTGCTTTGCTGTCGCTGCTGTTGCTTTGCCTTTGCTTTGCTGCTATGCTATGCTATGCTCTGCTCTGCTCTGCTCTGCTCTGCTCTGCTGCGCTGTGCTATGCTGTGCTGTGCTGTGCTGCGCTATGCTATGCAAAGCTATGCAAAGCTATGCTATGCTGCGCTATGCTATGCTATGCTGGGCTATGCTATGTTATGCTGTGCTGCGCTATGCTATGCTACTCTATGCTATGCTATGCTGTGCTCTGCTATGCTAAAGCTCAGCGAAGCTAAGATACAGGTAAGCTAAGCTAAGATAAACCTGAGCCAAGATGAAACTAAGTTAAGCTAAGATGAAAACAACTAAGCTAAGATGAGATAAGCAACGCCAAGCTAAGGGGACGTAACTGGGGGAACCGCAGGGCGGATGCCGAGGGAACCGCCCGGGGCGGGGAACACTGCCCGGCCTTTTAAGCACACAGAGTAAGAACCCTTCTAGGCAGAGCCTAGGTAAGGGAAAAAATAGGAATAACATTAATACTGATAAAATGACTGAAACTAATACTGGAAATGAGAACACTTATCCCAGAGCGACCCTACCTAGGAGTTGGAGCCCCGAGGCTGCGCTATGTTATGCTGCGCTATGCTATGCTATGCTATGCTATGCTATGCTGCGCTATGCTATGCTATGCTGCGCTATGCTATGCTATGCTATGCTATGCTGCGCTATGCTATGCTAGGCCATGCTATGATATGCTATGCTGCGCTATGCTATACTATGCTATGCTGCGCTATGCTATGCCATGGTATGCTCTGCTATGCTATGATATGCTGCGCTATGCTATGCTATACTGCGCTATGACATGCTATGATATGCTAGGGTATGCTATGCTGCGCTGTGCTATGCTAAGCTACGGTATGCTATACTGTGCTATGACATGCTATGATATGCCGCGCTATGCTATGCTATGCTATGATATGCTATGATATGCTATGTTGCGCTATGATATGCTGCGCTATGCCATGCTATGCTATGCTATGCTAATGCTGCACTGCGCTAAGCTAAGCAACGCTGAGCTAAGCTAAGCTGAACCAGGCTAGGCTAGGCTGAGCTAAGCTAGGCTAGGCTAAGCTAAACTAAGCTAAGCTCAGCTAAGTTAAGCTAGGCTAAGCTAAGATGAGATAAGCAACGCTATAGTAAGCTAAGGGAACGTCACTGGGGGAACCGCGGGGCGGATGCCGGGGGAACCGCCCGGGGCGAGGAACACTGCCCGGCCCTTTTAAGCTTATAAAATAAGAACCCTTCTAGGCAGAGCCTAGGTACGGAATACTATTAAACATAATCATAACATTTCAAGTGCAAACACTGTTCGGATACTATCCTTGGAGATCACGTCGGAGATCTGGCATTCAGGTCATTCTCGGGGTTTCGGCGGCCGATCGGGACGACCAGGGCACCCCCGTCACGCTCTTGACGAAGCGCAGCCGCTGCACAAATCATCCCGCGGCTGGAAAACCTTTTTGAGGATCGGCGAAACCGTCCGAAAACCACGCGCTGGAAAGCCGGCCGAGACAGGGAATCGACAACGTCACGTCGTCTGAGGTCTGGGAGGAGGGGGAGGAGGAGGAGGAGGAGGAGGAGGAGGAGGAGGAGGAGGAGGAGGAGGAGGAGGAGGAGGAGGAGGAGGAGGAGGAGGAGGAGGAGGAGGAGGAGGAGGAGGAGGAGGGAGGAGGAGGAGGAGGAGGAGGAGGAGGAGGAGGAGGAGGAGGAGGGAGGAGGAGGAGGAGGAGGGAGGAGGAGGAGGAGGAGGAGGAGAGGAGGAGGAGGAGGAGGAGGAGAAGACGGAGGAGGAGGAGAAGACGGAGAAGGACGGAGGAGGAGGAGGAGGAGGAGGGAGGAGGAGGAGGAGGAGAGGAGGAGGAGGAGGAGGAGGAGGAGAAGGAGGAGGAGGAGGAGAGGAGGAGGGAGTGAGGAGGAGAGGAGGAGG